GGAGAGGGCGGGAGCGGCCTCCCCCGTTCCTTCTCAAGTGCACTGTGTAGTACTGATTTTTTCCAATCATCTCTAAATAGAGGCTTCTCTCCCCCTCCTCCCAGCTCAGCGTCCGCGCGCAATGAGCGTGCCCTGCATCTGAAATCTGACATCTCCCTCTCTCACTCATTCACTCCGTCTTCAGCTTGGCAGAGCGCTTAAAAATTGGTATCCGTTTAACTAGGCGAGCTATTCTTCTGCTGGGAGATGACCTTTTACACGGAAGATAGGGCTGTCATAAGTGATCGCTGATATATGGAAGTTTCCGGTGTGTTTCAACAAGGAGCAATGCCACACCAAAGAGCAGTGGGTGTTGGTAGGGTGTTTCTGTGCAACTTGTTCATATTGTATTGCTTTACATGGTCTGAATAAATTATTACCAGTTCTTGAAAGTACTACCAGCCTTCCTGAGGCACATCTGTTCAATTTTTTTTGTTTTAATCGAAAAGAAAAATTTTGCTAGATTCAAAGACTCTTGGGGAGAAAGATGGGGAAAAATATCATTGAAAAGAGGAAATTTTTCCATGGGTTTTGAAGAAATTAATTGCTGTGTCTCAAAGTTACAAAAATAGCCTTTCTATATCTCTTCCCACAGACTTGGGGAGTCAAAACAATGAATGGCTTTTTCTTCTCCAATATAATATGTTATCCTGAAGTCTTCAACATTACCCCTCGCTTCTTATCGGAAGCCTAATATCTGATTTTCCCTGTGGCAGAACATTATTTGTTATTTTTGCAAAATGTTAATCTACATTACCATGAAGTTGTGGGATTCGCAAAGCAGAATGAAATGGGAAATGATAAGGATTTGCTCACATGGCACAAATCCACTGGGTACCACATTCAGTGTTAATGAATCTTAACTTCAGGACCTTGTCATTTGCTCAAATAATGCATGTACTATGGGCTATTACTATACCAAGGAAGGAGGGCTTACACAATCTCATGTAACATGCTGTAAGATGGAGTGGAAATACCAGGGATGTGCTGACCACCTGCAGTTTCCTCCTCTTTGTCAGTTAAGCAAGAATCCTAGAATACTGTTCTTGGAATGAAAGAACCACTCTTTGCTATTAGTCTCTTTAACTACTGGGAAAATGGACCCTGAGGGGAGTCCTGGCTTATGTGAGGGGGATCACTCAGACCTATTCACTACCTTTGACCAAATAGGAGGAAGCAGGAGGCTTTGGCCATCTCACCCTAAACCAATTACAGGTAGCTCATCAGAATTCAGTGATGATAATGACCTTCAAACACTATATATTTAAGGCTCAAGTTGTTACCCAAAGCCCACTCCAATTTATGGAATCCCTCCTTTGACTTCCACATACATGTCTTCTGTTTCTGATTCTCAAGGTCATTGCCTAAGGACTCACCAGCCCTCCTGAACACCTTCAGTAAGTGGCCACCTACCAGACATAAACTTAGTAGCAGGTCCATTGCTATGCCTGAAATTCTATTACAACATTAGAGTCCTTAATGTTCGGTTAAGGAAGGAATCATGCCTTGTGAAAATTGTAATACCTCTGAGAGGCTAAAACAACATTAACATGATGACTGTAATACTATTTTTATTATTTAGTAGTAGTTTTACAACTAACCACTACATGTATTACCTCATCTCCCTATGTTAACTCAGCAAAGTAAATATTTAAAAACTAAGCAAACTGGGATTCAGAGCATTTAAATTTCCTATCCATACCCATACATATAGTAAGTTCTGGGCCTGGGATTCAAATCCAGATCCCCATCTGATTCAAAAACTGGTGAACCTGATTCCTGTGAGTTGTCGATTAAGATCTTTCCCAATCTGTTTACCATCTGAAAGCTGTTTTGCAGAGATAGACAGACAGAGAGAGAGAGAATGTGTGTGCATGGTCAGAGTGGTTAATTTAGGGTAAGAAGATGGTAAGCGAATGTGGAATGGTGCTAAAGAAATCATTGCCTGGTACGACCTACTCTTTAGTAGGTTTTTCAGCAGTTCTTTGCTCCGTTGACTTGAGGCAGGGTTCTTGATCCCTTTTCCCAGGAACTTTCTTCTCTAAGGTGAGGAAATGTTGTGGCATGCACTGGCTACAGTTGGACAGACTGGAGCCTCCAGGGTCAATAAGCAATAGCAGCTTTGGTGATGGTCAGGGCAGCAGGTGCCCCAGCTCCAAGGTGGGCAGCTGGATATTAACGTCCCTTCTGCAGAGGTGCCAAAATGTGCGCAAACACGCAGGAATCTCCAGAAAAGTTTCCACGTGCAGCAGGAGTACACATGGACCTAGCTGCTCAGTACAGTCTGATGGAAAATTTTAGTAACTTTTTCCATCCAGATTTTTTTTTCAATTGTAAAGCACAGAAATACCAACCCCAGATGGCAAAAGCAAAAATGCCTGAGCTCACATAAGTGCAAAACCAATGAGAAGGTCATGTGGGGTTAGGGGGAGCATTGGATCAGGGGCTTGAACAAGGTGACTGGATTTCTTCTCCCTTCTGTCGCGTGGCACTATCCCCTCCATCCTGGTTCCTCCACTTCCAGGGGTCGCTTTTCACAGTCATGATATAGCAGCAGCAGCTCCTCAGACTTTACGTTCTCTCACTACAGATGCTCGAGTAAAGACGGAACCTCTTCTTCCCAGAAATCCCTACAAAAGTCCCCCGGCAAACCTACTGAGTCACGTGCTCATCTATGAACCAATCACGGTGGCCTGGGAGGGACGCAGTATGCTCATTGGGCTTAGGCCTGGATCATCTGCTGTATCCACAGACTCAGCCCCGCCCAAATCACGTGAGCAGAAATGGGAGGAGAGAAACATCTCAAAATGGCTACCTTCAGGAGAGGGATGAATGGCTACCGGGGTTGTCAGAGGCAGGGAATGCCCACTGTGGTGTTTGTCTAGCTTTTGTCTGTGTACAAACTAAGCGGCAGTGTTCCATTCCCTTCTTTTTTATGTATGCTGCTAGGCTTGTATCAGTAAGTGAGGCTGATGAGGCATGGGAAAAGGAGATCTAAGACTCTGATTTCGCTGACTATAGTCATGTGATGCTGTGGCGTCAAGTTCATGCCTCCTATGTTGTTGGTACTTGGTGATTATTGGTAATCACACCTTTGTTTTGCTTTGGAAAAGAGTGCCTAGATTGAACCTTGCTTTTCCAAGAGTGGCTCACAGACTTGCCACATCAATATCACCTGAAGCTTCTTAGAAACTGGAAGTCTTTGACCCTGTCTTTCCTGCTTAATCCAAGTACTTGAGGGATTGGCAAATTTTTCTGTCAAGGGCCAGATAGTAAATATTTCAGGCTTTGCAGCTGGTATGATCTCTGTTGTGACTACTTAGGTCTGCCTGTTGTTGCAGCTCAAAAACAGCCTATAGACTCTATGTAAACAAATGGTTGTGGCTGTGTTCCAACAAACCTTTATTTATAAAATCAGTCTACAGGCTACATTTGGCTCGTGGGCTGCAATTTGCCAATCCCTGGCCCAGAAGATCTGCCATCATGGCAGGGATTGAATTTACATGGTTGTCGCTTCTGTTTTGGGTTTATATATCCAGACAGATTATTAGAGTATCACCCTAAAATAATCTGCTCATTTGTTTATTCCTTCAAAGTGTGTGTGTGTGTGTTGAACATCCACAATTGGGCAGGACTTAGGCAATGCACAAATGATTGAAGGATCCCGAATTTCCATAGTGTCTACCATGAGGCGGTTACCCTCTGCAAGGCATGCATTCTTCCAGGCGTGCAGAAATATGTGCTTGTGCAAAGCACGAGGCACTGCTATTTTGTTAAAAACCAGTATCTATGGCAAGGGGGCCCATTGTGCCTATCTCCCTGGGAAACCAGATGCAGGCTCAGTCGTGGAGAATAGAACATCCTCAACTTGCCCACTTGCAGCTGTGAGGGGCAGAGTTGCAGGAGAGCTGACACTGCCAGCCCTCCTCCCCTGTAACCCCTCCAGTTCCTTTGGATCCGTTTTCATTTGCCGGCTCCACAAGAGATTTCAGGCAATAGAGAAGCCTCCACAAAGATAAGCCGCACAGGGCTCCATTGCCGGATACGGGGGTCCCTCTGCGGCGATGCTATTCTCTTCCCTTTGCAGCAAATGTCAGCTCCGCTGCCTCTCCCCAGCAGCTCTCGTCTGTGTGCGTTCTTTCATTTTTCTCTAGAGATCCCTCCTGTCCAGGATGTTTTTTATTTTACATTTGAAAAAGCAGAGGCTCTGCACGAGAACCACAGAGCCTGAGCTCCCAACCAGGCACGGGGCTGCTGTTCAAGCATCGGCTTTTTGCCTCGGGCTTCCTAAACCGTGCACTGGGTGGGGGGCAGGATGCGGACATGGCGCCTTTGTGTTAATTGTCACTCCAGCTGCTGTTCTTGCTGCTGGATGGGGAGACGGAGTTTTGAAACCTATTTCCTAGGTAAGCAGAAGCAACTTGTTACTTCATTTTGACCACTTACCACTTGAAAACTCTTGGTGTCGCATGTGAGAAAATGACTTGCGGCCGAATGATTGGACCCCCAAGCCTCAAGAGCAGAGAAGAGATTATTTGGTGACAGCCGTCCCCTCCTGTACTCTCCTCTCCTCCCCTCTTCCCCCATGCCAGGGCTGCAGATACATGCTCTCTCCCCTCCTGCGTTTGGAAAGTGCTACCCCTTCCTCCTCCATTTTGTCCCCTTCTTCCTGTGCCCTGCTTCATTAGGCCAAGAATTCATCAATTCCTCAAGACTGCAACAGGTCTTCTAGCCTCTTCTTCCCATAACCAGAACCAGGAAGGACAGCTAGACCAAACTCTCTGGGTCAATATGGCAGGATTTCTCAGGGCTCACTATAGCCAGAGCAAGCTCTTGGCTTCCAAGAGCTCTTTTGGTTATATCAAAACTTGAACAGAGTTGTACCACAGTCTGAACCTCAGGATCAAGAAGTAGACTCAAGAACCCGTGGCAGAGATGTTTTCATCAAAAATCAGCCCAAGTTTATCAAACATCTTTTATGCCTTCTCAAGGAGTCTACAATAACATCTCGGCCAACCTTCCTGGTTCCATTCGACAATTGCCTCTGCACCCACACCCCCAATCCGTTCTCCACATGGCAGCCTGAGAAAACATAAAACATAAAAAATTTATGTTTTAAAACATAAATCATATTATTCTCTTGCTCGAAACCTCCGAGCGCTCCAGTTGCACTTAAACTACAATCACTACCCTTTGTCCATTTCTCACCAATTGGTAAGAGCCTTTTGTAGATCAGAGATACCAGTCATCTGTGGTGCAAATATTTTTCTCAAATCTATTGTCTGTCTTTAGACTTTGTGTCTAATATTTTTTGTTGTGTAAAAGTTTTACATTTTTATGTAGTCAAATATGTCCAACTTTTCTTTTATGAATTCTGGATTTCCTGACTTGATTAAGATGGATGCCCTTCTTAATATGATCATAGATTAGTCTACCTGGATTTTTCTTCTAAGAGGTTTATGTGGTTGGTATTTTACATTTAAGTCTTTACTTCATCCAGAATTTATTTTTATATTTGGTCAGAGACAGAGACTACTTTTGTTTTCCTCTGGACCAGGGATTGACAAACTATGGCCCATGGGCCAGCTGCATGTGTTTGTAAATAAAGTTTTATTGTAACACAACCATGCCCATTCATTTACGTATTGTCTATGGCTGCTCTCATGCTATAAAGGCAGAGTTATGTAGTTACAACAGAGACCATAAGGCACACAAAGTCTAAAATATTTACTACCTGGATCTTTACAGAAAATGCTTGCCAACCTCTGCCTTAGATGGCTAGCCAATTTGTGCCAGCACAATTGGTTAAATAAACCACTCTTTGCCCTCTAAAATGAAATTCTGTCTTTATCATATATGAAATTCTAATGTGTCTTTTCCTGGATTTTTCCATTCTGTTCCACTGATCTCTTTGTCTCTCTCTCTGCCATTACCACTTAGATTTTATTGCTATGACTTTATATCTGGCAAGTCATAGCCCCCATCACAATTCTTATTTTCCATGCTTTTCTTATCTTTTCTTGTGTAATTACACTACCATTAGAATTTAAGATACTTTTATCCATTTCCAAAAATAATGAAAATCTTATTGGAATTCTAATTAGACATGTATTAAATTTATATACGTATTCTGGGAAGAATGGATATTTTTACAACATTAAGTCTTCCTATTTTAGAAAAAAATATCTGTTTGTTTAGTTCTTGTTTGGAGTCTCTCAGTAAATATTTCATAATTTTATTTATATAGGTCTGTATTAGGGTCTGATCAGGGACAGAAACCACAGCATTAATTTAACCAGGAAAATTTATATAAAACTTACTATTAAATGGTAGATAGCTCCTAAAAGGGTTGAAAGAAGACTCTAAGGAATATAGGAATCACAAATGCAGGGAGCAGCTGCTATTTCTAGGACTGAAAGAGCAAAACAAGGATGGAACAAAGAACGTAGGAGAGGAAGCTCTGAACCCAGCGTTGAAATTTAGACCTCACTGGAGAATATAGCTACCATAGGAATATAGAGCTTGAGTCCAAGTTCCTATTATGTTAAATTTATCCCTAAGCATTTTTATAGTTTTTTTAACCTCTATTGTCATTTTTTCCCATTCTCATTTCTGGGTGCTTATTGCTAGCAGAGAGTGAAGTTATTGATTTTTGTATATTTATCTTTAGTAACTTTACTCAATTGTCTCATTTATTTGACTAGTGTTTCATTAGAGTCTCTTGAGTTTTCTAGGTATTCAAACATATCAGCACAAAAGAGATAATTTTATCTATTTTTCTCCATAGTAATACCAGTCATTTTACTTTTTTACCTCAGTGCATTCACTAGCTCCTCAGATAATTTTAACTTTAGCAGTTTATTCTACCAAGTTTTCTTTGTATTAAATTTACTCTGTCCTTACTTATTTTTGTCTCCTCTATATGTGTAATTCTGAGAGATGTGGATGGATATCTACAACTCTTATTTCAATTACAATCTTGTATTTTAAGCTCTTTTTCTTTATATATTTAGCCGTTATGTTGTATGGTGCATACAAGTTTATGGATGTTATAGCTCCTTTATAAACTGGCTTTTTAACCACTTTGGTACCAGCGTCGACTATAGTCAATATCCACAGATGAACACGCACAGCGACTTTAGCCTACAGCCGTGATATGAAGGCGCACAGCCAAGCATCAACTTTAGCTGACAGCCATGGTGTGACTTCTCTAATTTTTCATTTATCAAAATAAAATTGTGAACATTTAAAAATAACGTAATGAAAATATATATGTATATGTTACCTATTGTGATTTACATTACAAGTAAAGCTGCCTGTAAAGTAAGACAAGCTTTCAGTGCTTTAAAGCTTTCCTCATCACACAAGAGCAAAACGGATCCGTCGTCAGTGCACGGCACAAACTATCGTGTGGTCTATGAGTGCCGGCTGTGGTCAAGGTTTTGCGGCCGGTGAGCACAGTACCGAAGTGGTTAATGTTATATGATGTCACTGTTCATTCCGTTTTATACCTTCAACCTTAAATTCCTTCTTTTCTGATATTCGGAAAAGCTCCTTTTGCTTTCTTTTTTGCCTGGTTATTATTTATCTATATTTTCCATTTCCTTCTCTTTTTTCAACTTCTTATTGTAGAACCAATTAATATAGCTGTCCTCTAAATTGTTCCAGAGTAGTCCACAGTTACTGTGTTTTTAGATGCTAAAAACTGCCAGCTGTTGTTGCTAGTGGCTTTTGGTAACCCTACAAGTAAGCATTGCACATGCCCTCTGCTGTATCCATACAAATTCACCCCCACAACAGCCCTGGAATTAGTGCCCTGCAGAACAGGATAAGTACTTCAGCAACAGCCGACAGCTAAGACCGTAGCCCCTTTGTCCCTTATTACCTATCTTTGTCTATCTTGCCTATCTTTGCTCATGGTGACCCACCCTCTTGCTTCATGCAAAGACAGAAATTATCAGCAGGACATTCTTACCTTCTGCTTATATTAATAATAATTCCACATATTGGGTTTTGGCTCCGTGGAGGCACTTTGCATACTCTATGCACATTATCTTACCTAACTTTCCGTGTAATACTGGATAGTATATTACTATCCTTAGCATACAGGTGAAGAAATCTAGGTAGCCTGCCTGTAGGTAGCAGAGATGGAACTTGGCTTTTTATTCTATGTTACTCTGTGTGTTGCTTCTCCCTTCTCCAGAGTCTGGCAGCTCACAATACGGCCCCAGCCTGTGCTGAGTTGGGGTCCGTGGGGTAATGAAGGCAGAAAGTCAAAGCATTCCAGAATGACCCAATAATGGCTATTTCCAAAACATCAGCAGACTTCACCATAACCTCTACTTACACTTAACACAGTTACTCCCCCATGACTAAGAAATCATATATTATCATTAAACATAAAAAAATTCAATTAAAAATATCATAAGGTTTGGGGTTATGCAGATACAAGGGTATAAAAAAATCTTAACTCCCCCAACTTGGCATTGACAGATCCTTCTCCATGGGATCATTGGAGTCATCCACACTGTGTTCTTGGGACTGTACAAAACACTGGCATAAAAGAACCTCGAGGTGTGCTGTCTTCCTCCTTGAGAGTTTTATACTTCAGTTAGGATGTGTACTCCCAAAAGAACAATTTGAAAAAGGTAGATGGCAGGAAACACGGGGAGGTACTATAGTAAGTGTCTTGGAAGGTCAGAGGTGATATTCTCCCAGAGAAAGATTTAAGGACATAACTAGGCATGAAGGGAGATAAGAAACTAAGCAAGTGAAAAGAAGAAAATTATAAGACTAGAGCAATGAGAACCAAAGTGTGGGGCTAGAAATATAGAGAAGGAACAGGAAGCAGACCAAGTCGGCCAAGGACGAGGGACCGTGTGAGAAGGTTTATAGTGGAATGAGAACTCTGGGGTTAGTTAGATGCAAATCAGGCTTTGGTTGAAGACTTTGGCTCCTGTCTTGTGGGTAGCAAGAAGCATTTGAAAGGATTGGAGCAGTGGAACCAAGAACACAATAGTTGCTTAAGGATATTAATTTCACATTGGTCTACCTGGTGGATTGGATTGGTGTGAGGAAGAGCAGTTTAGTAACTGGTACAAGAAAAAAACACATTTTACAAAAGAAAAACTTTAAAGGGCCAATTGTTTGCAAGGGGTTGGGGAATGATTAGCTTTATATATTATCAAGTAAATGCAAATTAAAGCAACTATGAGGTACTTTTTTACTCTTTTAAATACAAAATATTTTAAAGCACTGATATTTAGTGTTGTCAGAGGAGGCATGTTGATGATTTCATATGCTGCTAGTGGAAGTATTGGACCTTTCAGGAAAGAATTTAGATAAGTGGACCAAGATGTTCCATAACATCTAAACTCTTTAGCCTGTTATCTCCACCTGAAGAGTTAACTCTAAGGGAATAGTAAGACCTGTTCAGCATTTTAGATACAAAAATCTCCGTTGCAGCCCTGTTTATAATAGCAAGAAATAGGAGCCACTTGAATATTAAGTGATAGGGGATTGGTTAATTAAGTGATGATACAATGGTGGAGCATTCTTACAACGGAATAAATACCATGTGGCTGTTATAAATGCTGTCTCCAGAGGGCAGTTGAGACGGAAAGTTGCTCACTAGAAAATGTGCCCGTCCTTTCCCATTGGTTACCAGAACCACCTCTGCCATGACGCCAGCGTCTACGTAAGCAAGGGTCTGTTTCTGGGCTCCCAGTTTGGTTCTGTTGACTGAGTTGTCTATTTCTGTGCTAAGCCACGTTGTCTTAATCACGGTAGCTTTGTAAAAAGTCTTAATACCTGGTAAGTCCAATTCCTCTGCTCTGGCCACCATGTGAAGGACACATTTGGGTGGGAGAACAAGGTTAAAGTAGGGAGACCACTGAGGATACTATTACAGTCATCAACAGTAGCCATGAGTGAACATGTCTCTGGAAAAAGAAATAGGGTTACTCTACTGTCCTACAAAGCCCGGGGAATTGAAGGGCAATAATAAGAACTTTGCATCCCAATATATTGGCAGCTTGATAAAATATTATGATATTAGCTCCTGGAACAGCAACTCTGAGATC